CCACGTGAGATCCACGCTTTATTTTGCTTTGTCTGTTTGTTGTGTATGTATTTCATTTAAATTTTGTTTTATTTTTTCGTACTGCCTGTCTGTAAAATGTGATTTGCTCATTTTACTTTTCTTGTGCTGTCTGTTTTGTCATATGTTTAACGAAACAATACAAATTTCTACCTGTGAAAAAAAAGAGAGTAGTTGGAGGTTACACATAATTATAGCTGAGGAGGAGTAGGTAAACTATGATACTTTCACTCTGGTTCGGGTAAATATATAGTGCTGGTGGCAGATTAAAGGACAACATGGCCGGAGAATGGTCCAGATAAGACTTTTTTTATCTTTGAATACTATACTGATTATAGGTATAGTATTAATACTGTACCATTACTCATGGTACCCACAGTGTTACCGCAATGTTTGCTTGCTGGAATAGTTAGGGTTCCAAATATCTTATATTAGGATTCTAAAATTGCAATTACATCTCTTTGGTAATTTTTTAACTAGATTTTCTGTGTTTCTTGTACTGTAATGTACTCCACATATATTTCAGTAGACACTGCTTGACAGTATAACATGTGGTGATAAGCAACAACTGGATTTGTAAATGCTGATTCTATACCTATATTGAGTAAATATTACATTGTTGTGTTTTTAGATTTTCACCTCATCATCTGAGCCCAAGGAGAATGAATGCTTCCTTAAATATGATGCAGAGGCGAACTCCACAGCCCCCTCAAGTGCAAACAGGGGCAAATTACTCAAAGACGTACCCAATAGTAAATGCTTCTGTGCAGCAAAATGGTCTTTATGTGCAAGGTGAGTAGTGATTTCAAACTTATTTGGGCCTTTCATTAACCTAAACATTAATAATTTTCTATCATAAATAATGCCAGGGGGAGTGGCTGCACATGGATGCTCTCTAGAAATCTGTCCAACATTCAATTATCAGGTAACATGAAGGTAAGGGCACAAGAGTATACAGACATATTTAGGATTGCTGGAAAATCTTTGCAAAAGATTTGGTAATTGTTTCCTTCTCACAGAAAAGAGATCAGTCCGTTGAGTGCATGCATTCAGTAAAATGTAATTTAATTAAAAACAGAATGTCAAGTACATTAGGTATCATTAAGATTGTTGCTGTGACGCTGACCATCTTTAGCTATTTTAAAGAACACTGCTGAGCACTATTTGCATTTAAACTAGAATATAATATAAGCTGTGCAATTTAGAACTCAAACAATGATGAGGTGTGTGGCCACCCCTCCTCTTATACATGTCAGAGTTGAGCATTTCTGAACCTAGAAAAATAACATTCTGCATTGCATAACCCAATAAGAGTTTTTAATCCAGTGGCTTTGTGTCAGTCATGAGGATGAAGTGATGGAAATAAACACAGACAGGGCATAGCTCTCGCTGACTCACCATGATCTTAAAGAAGAACTAGCACAGGAAAAAAAGATTGCATGAGATGCAGAAGGTTTGAATGTTTAGATGACAGATCTGTCTGAGAATGGGCAATCTTGGCCTTCCTAATTAGTCTAGGACAGGCTGAGAATTCCTCTGAAGGTTAGTAAATACTACTGCAGAGCAGCCTTTCTCAACCAGGGTGCCAGGCTTTCTCAGGAGTGTCTATATGTTTTCACAGTGTCATGCCTTTCTATAGTGCAGGCACAATGGCCACCAGCACCAGGACATTTATTACACTAATCCAGGGAGTTTGAGATCCATTCAGAAAAGAATGGAAGTTCCCTCCATCCAGCCTTGCTTAGCCTCCCACACTCTACCATGCTGCCACAGCTGTGGCTTAATAGTAGGACTCTTTTGGGAGGACTGTGAAGGGGACTCTTAGGCCTGGTTCACACTGAGCATTTTGTAGCACTTTTCTGCCCTACAAACGCTCAAAAAATATGCCCCAAAAAATCAATTAATTTCTATGGCCCTGTTCACATCTGAGCATTTTATCGCAATAAGCAAAATGCTTGTAGCTGGAAAAAGTACAAGAGTTTTTTTTTTTGGCATATCCCAGTTCGTTTTGGCCCCATAGACTCAATTGGAAATGCTTGAAAACGTGCGTATGCTTTATTTTTGCGCGTTACTTGTGTTTTATGCGGGTTTGCTCATTGAAGTCAATTAGCTATAATCTGCTCATAAAAACGCGCAATTTGATTTATACGCATAATACATGCACAAAAACTTGTGATGTAAAAAGGAACTCTGATGTAAAAATGGGGGCATCTGATGTGAAAGGAGGGAGCTCCTAGTGTGACAGAGGGTGACTCTAATGTGATAGGAGGGGGCTCCTAATGTGGAGGGGAGCTCCTGATGTGGAGGGGAGCTCCTGGTGTAAAGAGGGACTCTGATTTAATAGGGGGATTCTGATGTGAAAGGGGGTTTCAGATGTGAAGGGGGAACCCCACTTTTTTTTGTATGGAGTCCCCTCTTAAAATGCATACCAAACTCGTATCTCAGGTAGGGGACTGGTATGGATTTTGGAGGGACCACACTCTGTTTTCTAAATTTTTACTATTGAATTGTGCTGTGACTGAAAACAAAGTTGAGAAACGCTGTTGTAGAGTAGTGGTGATGTACCTGGTACCTTTTTTTTCCAACCCTGACATACTGTATGTTGATTTGCACATATTAGAGAAGGTTGTTTATATTAACTTCTCTACATTCATTATATGCAGAGATTAGATTTTTTATGGAGAAGTCTTCAAGGTTGTGTCTGCTGTGTGTTTTAACTCACGAGAGAGCTGTCTTTCCGAATTTGCTAAATGCACAGCTGTGATGACAAACTAACACCCGCTGCACATATAAAATATGTCCCTTGTGCTAGCCATGGGAAATTGTGCTGTTGTGTTAAAAAGAAAAACAGTCCTGTCAAGCTGTGTGTTCCGGTGCCGAAGACATACAACATACAGAGTACATTGATGGATACAGGCTCTAAACCTATTATCACAACATTTTTCTTACTGTTAAGCTACGTAACATATAAAGTAACTACTGTAATCTGTAAATTACAGTAGTTACTTTACTGCTCAGTTCTTATGCATAAATATAGAAGATTGTCAGTGTATGAGAGCTGACTGGTCATAGCATTGGAGGATTGATTGTAGCCACCCAGGGACTGGAAGTGGGTTATTTGCAGGATTACCAGGTTAAAAGTTAGGGGGAAAAAACCTAGAAAATAAAACTAATGCAGCCATTACATCTAAGGACTGGTAAACTGCAATATATTACATTTTTGGGTTTGGGTTTGGATATATTGTAAACCATCTGGAACTTATACAAAGCTATGTGGAGTGATGCTTTTTAACGAATAATAAAAATATGAATATTTAGTAAAGCAGACAAAATGACTCAGATGACATAAAGGTAGTCTGGTTTTTAAAGCTGTTCATCTGTGGTGTATGGATGTTGCAAAGTCTGAGCGACAGTGGTGTGAAAATAAATTACTGCTGGCTTTTCCCCATAGATGTGGCAGCAACGTGTGTTTTTGTTTGTACAAGACTTCTTCTGCAGAGCAACACTGTTACTCTCATGACAATGTTTTGCTAAGGTCAAAAATCCCACTTAGTGATGATTTGTTAGCTCTGCTGCAGAGTAAATCCCCTCATATATAATATCTTGTATAGTTTACCCATTCTGTGCCAAGCTAGGAAAATAAAAGATTGTTTTTAACATTTAAATGCATGCTTATGAGACTGAAAAAGAGCATTTAAATATGTGTGGATTTGAAGCCAGAGCATTTTAATATATGCCTGCTTATAACACAAGCTGTTTGCAGTATGGAGCATTGGCATGTGTCATCGGAGTGCATTTCTATGACAGAGTTTGCAGCCCTTTTCATTTAATGTTAGAAAGGAAAGAGTTAAACTTTTCCACACATGCAACTTGTATTCCTATGAGAATGAGGCACAATTAGAGGCAGGACCCTTTTAATAATGGATGCTAATAATTCACTTACAAGACCTAAACCATTTGTCTTCCATGGCTGTTTTTTCCCTAGAATATGAATTTCTTGTGCATATGCTACAACCTTGTCCTAGATTATTAAGTGATGAATAAAGAACAGTATGTCATCATCAGTCATTTCTTCTCCCTCATACAACATGTGAATTTACTAATGACTGTAGAAAATAAAATGTCAGGGCTGATTTCCGTATCAATTTAATTAATGTGCTGGCTTTTTAAAGGACAACTATGGTTGACATTTCCCCCCAAAATCATACAGTTTAATCTTAGTTCTAAAATATAATTAGCTCCCTGATTGGAATTCTTACTGCCCTCTGTTGCTATTGGATGCACCAACAGTTTGCCAATGTGCTGGGAGGAAAATTAAAATTAGTAGGTGTAAACTTCTAAATTCTTTAATGTGGATACTTGTTCATGTTATAAATCAGAAGACAAACACAATACCACCTTTCCAAGTTCTATTGCTGATGTTTGCTAGCTACTGTATATAACACCTATATTTTTATGGAAATAATGTGCAGGTGGGAAATATAAGCATTTGCTCTTTTTTCTAATGTTTATTCATGTAGGTTTGGGGATATTTTTAAAGGGTGATATTAAAATGGAAATGAACTCATAACGTGAAGATTTGCTATATTATAGGGAAAATTAAGATATGTTAATGTTGCTTAAGCAGTATCCTGAAACTATTGCCTTTGTCTTAAAAGCCTCCTGAAATGTGAGTCTGCATAGGCACTCTTATGCATACAGCCTCATAACTGTATATCTGCTGTGTGAGATCTAAGGCACTGATCCCTCTGACTGTTGAGACTTGGAGTGATATTTGGTGAAGTCATTGCTGAGCTGCTCTTGCTGTTCTTCTTGCTAGAGGCTCTCACATGAGGAAGCAAAGCTCTGCCTCTCTCAAAATTTCAGCCTCTGCACAGAAATACAGCACAGAATAAGGTATGGTAATTCATTAATGGGGAAAGGTCCAGTTGTGAAGACCACAGGAACCAATGGTCACTAGACTATTGCCTATTGCCTGCATTTTGTGAGCACTGCTTCCAGGGTTCAGTTATCTCTCATCCGATTCCAGCTAAACTTCACCTCCATGCTGGCAAACTGCACACATTTTGTATGAGGCCACTAAAGGAAGTTGGTTTATTAAAGAGGACAAGGTCACAGTGATGTTCTACGGTGTGATACGTGATAGTGTTTCGCACCCTCATCAGCAAGTTAACCTGTTAGCACTACCATGGTAGCCAGCAAGCAGTATAGAGAAACACAGAATTAAAGTTGGTGCAATAGTGGTGCCTGAAGCCAGATGACCCAGATGTCATGACTCTCCAGGAACCACAGTTTTATATGTTTTGGACTTGCTTTCATATTGGTGTGCTATGAAAAGGGTTACTCCTTTACTTACAGGGTTATTCACAGAAGGGTGAAGAGGTTGGAGAAGGCAGGAGAAGTGAACAATCTAGGACAACATAGCTGAACTGGAAAGTGAGCTGAACTGGGGAATGTTTCCAAATCAGATATGTTGCCCTAGATTGTTCACTTCCCCAGCCTTCTCCAAACTCTTCACCCTTTTGTGAATAACCGTGTTGGACACTCCCATGGGCTTTACTGTTCCTGCAACTCCTGAGGTTAGCCTTGTGGGTATTCCTAATGACTTTCTTCCTCCCTTACATAAGCATAGTATACCTAGATTTTTTTTCCAGGCCAGGAAAACCATTTTACTTCACTGAAAGGCTCCTATACCCAGTTTTGCAGGTGTTCTGCCAAATCAATTATTTACACTGGAAGAGCATTCCCCAAAAACACTGAGGGGTCTGTTCACAAAGCTGCCGTAGGCAGCC